CTTCTGCTGCTGCTGCTGCTGCCCTTTTACGTGCTCTTGCCCATGTTCTTGACACCCATTGGTGCCATATAAATGAGAAAATTACCAAACGTGACGTCTGAAACCCTATAGAAATATATACAAGATATATAGAAGTGCCTAACGTGTCGTCTGACATCCTAGAAAAACACAATTTTTCGACAGATTCTGTTGCTGGAGGCTGCTAGCAGTAAAACAGTTTCGAAAAAATCACCTCCCGGGGGAAAACACCAGGGCTCTGAAGGACGAGCGAGTGCCAGAATCACGCCAAAAAAGTGCCTAACGTGTCGTCTGAAATCCTAGAAAAAGCTAGATTTTTGGTAGGCTGCTGGCTACTGGCTGTTGGCTGCTACTGGCGCTGGCTGCTAGCTATACTGGCTATGTGCACCTTTTGCGTGCTCTTGCCCATGTTCTTGACACCCATTGGTGCTATATAAACGAGAAAACTGCCAAACGTCACGTTTGAAACCCTATAGAAATATATACAAGATATATAGAAGTGCCTAACGTGTCGTCTGACACCCTAGAAAAACACAATTTTTCGATAGATTCTGTTGCTGGCGGCTGCTAGCAGTAAAACAGGTTCGAAAAAATCACCTGCCGGGGGGGGAAACACCAGGGCTCTGAAGGACGAGCGAGCGCCAGAACCACGCCAAAAAAGTGCCTAACGTGTCGTCTGAAATCCTAGAAAAATCTAGATTTTTGGTAGGCTGCTGGCTACTGGCTGCTGGCTGCTACTGGCGCTGGCTGCTAGCTACTGGCTATGTGCACCTTTTGCGCGCTCTTGCCCACGTTCTTGACACCCATTGGTGCCATCCTAGAAAAACACAATTTTTCGTGCTGCTAGCTGCTGCACTGCTGCCGTTGCGCTTACTGCTGCTGCGTCTGCTTGGAAAAACGCAATTTTTCGATAGATTCTGTTGCTGGCGGCTGCTAGCAGTAAAACAGGTTCGAAAAAATCACCTGCCGGGGGGAAAACACCAGGGCTCTGAAGGACGAGCGAGTGCTAGAACCACGCCAAAAAAGTGCCTAACGTGTCGTCTGAAATCCTAGAAAAAAACAAGAAAAAGAAAAAAGAGGAGCAAGAAAGAATAAGAAGAAGGAGAAAGAAAAGAACAAAAGAGAAAGAAAAAGAGAAAAATCTAGAGATTTTTGGTAGGCTGCTGGCTACTGGCTGCTGGCTGCTACTGGCGCTGGCTGCTAGCCATTGGTGCCATCCTTGAAAACCACAATTTTTCGTGCTGCTAGCTGCTGCACTGCTGCCGTTGCGCGTACTGCTGCTGCGTCTGCTTGTGTCTGCTGCTGCCTACTGATGCTTGCTGCTGCCTGCTGCTGCCTGCGGCGGCCTGCTGCTGCCTGCGGCGGCCTGCTGCCTGCTGCTGGTGCTGCTGCTGGTGGCTGCTGCTGCTGTGCTGCTGCTGTGGTGCTGCTGTCGTGCTGCTGCAATCAAACAGCTTCCAAAGCAAGAAACAACTGCAACTGCTGCTGCTGCTGCTGCTGCTTCTGCTGCTGCTGCTGCTGCCCTTTTGCATGCTCTTGCCCATGTTCTTGACACCCATTGGTGCCATATAAATGAGAAAATTGCCAAACGTGACGTCTGAAACCCTATAGAAATATATACAAGATATATAGAAGTGCCTAACGTGTCGTCTGATATCCTAGAAAAACACAATTTTTCGACAGATTCTGTTGCTGGAGGCTGCTAGCAGTAAAACAGGTTCGAAAAAATCACCTGCCGGGGGGGAAAACACCAGGGCTCTGAAGGACGAGCGAGTGCCAGAACCACGCCAAAAAAGTGCCTAACGTGTCGTCTGAAATCCTAGAAAAAGCTAGATTTTTGGTAGGCTGCTGGCTACTGGCTGTTGGCTGCTACTGGCGCTGGCTGCTAGCTACTGGCTATGTGCACCTTTTGCGTGCTCTTGCCCATGTTCTTGACACCCATTGGTGCTATATAAACGAGAAAACGGCCAAACGTCACGTTTGAAACCTTATAGAAATATATACAAGATATATAGAAGTGCCTAACGTGTCGTCTGACACCCTAGAAAAACACAATTTTTCGATAGATTCTGTTGCTGGCGGCTGCTAGCAGTAAAACAGGTTCGAAAAAATCACCTGCCGGGGGGGAAAACACCAGGGCTCTGAAGAACGAGCGAGTGCCAGAACCACGCCAAAAAAGTGCCTAACGTGTCGTCTGAAATCCTAGAAAAATCTAGATTTTTGGTAGGCTGCTGGCTACTGGCTGCTACTGGCGCTGGCTGCTAGCTACTGGCTATGTGCACCTTTTGCGTGCTCTTGCCCACGTTCTTGACACCCATTGGTGCCATCCTAGAAAAACACAATTTTTCGTGCTGCTAGCTGGCTGCTGCACTGCTGCCGTTGCGCTTGCTGCTGCTGCGTCTGCTTGGAAAAACACAATTTTTCGATAGATTCTGTTGCTGGCGGCTGCTAGCAGTAAAACAGGTTCGAAAAAATCACCTGCCGGGGGGGAAAACACCAGGGCTCTGAAGGACGAGCGAGTGCCAGAACCACGCCAAAAAAGTGCCTAACGTGTCGTCTGAAATCCTAGAAAAAGCTAGATTTTTGGTAGGCTGCTGGCTACTAGCTGCTGGCTGCTACTGGCGCTGGCTGCTAGCTACTGGCTATGTGCACCTTTTGCGTGCTCTTGCCCACGTTCTTGACACCCATGCCATCCTAGAAAAACACAATTTTTCGTGCTGCTAGCTGCTGCACTGCTGCCGTTGCGCTTACTGCTGCTGCGTCTGCTTGTGTCTGCTGCTGCCTACTGATGCCTGCTGCTGCCTGCTGCTGCCTGCGGCGGCCTGCTGAGTAGTAGTAATAGTAGTAGTAGTAGTAGTACTAGAAGTTGGGGTCGGCAGATATAGAACAGAAAAAATTGCTACCAATGCTGTGTCAGAAAATCCTTTTCCCTTTCGCGCTCCCCCTTGCGCAGCCGGGGTCGGCGGATATATACAGTATATGTATACATACATACACAAATACACGCCCAATCTGCAACTGGGTTATAGCCATGGGTCCAGGGCCTGAGCCATTCATGGCGCCATGGACACGCCAGAGGGGATGGTGATGTTCAATGAATCGTTTTTACATAGAAAATCCATATACATATACAGTGTGTATATATATATATATATACATAATGTATATATATATATATACAGTATGTATATATATAATGATAATATAATATATATATATAATGTGTATATATATAATGTATATTTATATATATACCATGAAATGGAGGGGTGATATTTGTAAATGTCACCTTCGACAGAAACCATGAAGAGCCGTGGAAATTTTAGGGCCTGCAATTGTCGGTCATCTCGGATGAATTCATTTCTATTTGTACCTCTACACAGAGTAGCTGGAGCTAAGTGTGAGGTCTGCTTGTTTATAGATTTCAAATCCGGGATTTAGGCGACCAGAGGCTGTATTTCTGGGGTGAACATCGATCTCCTTGGCCTTTGCCCCGTCTCACCTGACGCCAACTCAACCAAGTTGACACGGCGCAAAAAAAGGGTTGGACGCGGAAGAACTTGCAGAAGATATGTATATGTAATCATAGTACAATGTTTGCGGTACAATATATAATGCACATATACATATACATATACATATATACACATACTATGTATATATATATATGTATATACATATATATGTTATGTACACACTCGACAATACAGTAGCAACACTATACGTGTCATTTTGGATGTATGCTATACTTTTGAATTTCAATAGTTTTGTGGATTTTTTGGCGAAGGGCGATTTGTACTTTGAAGCTGCTTGGTCAGGTTCTGAACAGGAGCGGGGACCAACCACTCCGTTGCAACTTTATGTGTGTTTTTCCCCTTGTGTAAAGATAATTCTGAGAACACATACCTAATGTGGCCATCGTTTGTTCGTAGTTTTGTTGATTTAAGTTAGGTTTGAGATTTGGATGAACTGCCATGAACTGCCATGAAAAACATAACAACCACGTTGGGACAGAGAGTTTCGCCAGTTTTGTGGCCCGACTGCGTAACCAATCTGAGTTACTGACTTGAAGGAGTGGAGATGTAACAAAATGATGGGTGAATAATGTTTGAAATCACATGCTACAGCTAAATTTAAATCTAAGACTCTAAGACTAATCGTATCTAGACCAAATCAAATCAAATCAATCTGATCTAATCTATTTGTCTGTCCGTCTGTCTATATACCTATCTATCTATCTGTCTGTCTGTCCGTCCGTCCGTCCGTCCGTCCGTCCATCCATCCATCCATCCGTCTATCCATCTATCTATCCATATGTCCAACGGAAAGCTATGGACTCTTTTCAATGCATAATGACCCTTGACATCTACCTTTCCTGTTCCACTCTTCAAAATTCTATAAATCACGAGCCTGCAGTGATGTTCCCCTAAACTTCCCCAAGCTTCCCCAAACTTCAATGGAACCCGAGGTCCCAAAGGTCTTCCTTCCACATGCAACTGGCGCTTATCGATTTTCCACCGATTTTTCCAGCTCGAAGAACCTAGAGTTGACACACATGGGAAGCAGAATATGGGGTCCAGTGGTGGACCCCTCTCAGCCACCATTGCATGACCCCACCAGGATTTTTGTGATATTCGTGCCAGCAACAGGCAGTAGTGGCAATGATACTACAATTATCCGCCAATCTTCGTGGTAGGGAACTGCAAAAAAAAGTAGACGGTATCATGGGGCACACATCTGAGTTGAAGTGTTCAAAATTATTGGTTAAGAGAACGTGGGACCTCATTGCCCAAATAGTTGAGCAAAGAAGGTTTGTGATAGATTCTACTGATTCAATTTCACTTAATTTTACCACGGTACGATTCCCGCCTTGAGAACTGAACATCTCAGACTTAAACCTCAGGCTTAAATCAGAAATCAGCTGAAACCGAAACCGCCCATGGACGTTGTCGTTTCCGTCGAACACGTCGCCACCGCGGACAATGCGTACCCTGGCTTTGCTTAAGGTCTTTTTTCCTCGTCTCAATAGAACATCCATCATTTGGCGTGCTAATTTACATTTCACAGTTTTGTTCCAATGGGCACTCCACGATTTGGTGGTTTGCCCAACAATAGACTATATGAGTCTTTACCAAAAACATGGGATGCAGTCACCATTTTATTCATGTTTTTGTTTGGATGCCACCCGCAAATCCAAGGGACACTGCGAAGCTTGGTCACTGCCTCGCTTACGAAGGGATTGCAGAGGACTGAACCTGACCGATTATGGCAATCCCTATCAACCTCACAAGGGACTCAAAATGAATATATAGAACCAATTTACAAGAACTGGTGTTTCGTTTGGGGGCATATTGGAGGGAAGGGATTCTTATGCACTTATAGAAGGTTTTCCATTGAACAAAAATGATTGCCAAGCATGGGTGACTGGTTGGTTTGTTGAGTCAAAAAAAAGGAATATTGTGGTTAGACAACACTACAGGAATGTGCAAATAGTTGCCATATTTGGGATCAACATGCACAACTCTCAGCTATTTTGCAGTGACCCGGGTGAACTGACCCATATGGCGTTGACCAAAAGGCCTCCTTTGGTCGTTTCAGATATGTTTGATTTTTCATCCATACCTGGGTTGATGATCCAAAATTGACTTTCAAAAAAAATGATCTTGTGACCTATTTGGCCCGATCGTGAGGGCCTCGTTGGCGCACGCTCCCAAAGTTGGTTTGTTTCAGGTTCATGACATATGAAGCTTTGTCCAGAATATTTTTGTCGGGTATATGATATGACCTAGGAAGATCGGGTTATATCAGGTTTGAATTGACATACATGGTGGTACGAAAGAAGATGGTCTTCAAAAATAATCATTGACCCAGTAAACATGTGGATTGGGTGAACAAGGATGCTTAGTGATTGGTAGGAGCCGTTGTCGGCCTTAATTCTCTGATTTTTGCCTAGTTATTGTCAGTTGCCATCAGCAGGGCCACCCAAAGTAGGCTGTCTTCAAGCCACAGGTTTTTTTTTTGAAAAGCAAATTCATTGGAATCAACATGAATCAACTAGTCCCTGCAAGGTTGACACCTCAATGATAGCTAGTTGATAAGCCATGACAAGCCCCTCTTGTGATTGTTGGTGGCTCATTGGGATCATTGAACTCGTTGGACCCCCATGATTTCAGGCGGCGATGGTCTCCGCACTCGTGCGAGCCATTGTGGCTGCTGGGATTTAAGCGGTTCAGCGTTGGGGGTTTTGAATGGGATACTGGGGATACTGTATGGGGTTTACATGGAGGTTACATGGAGCTTGTTTCTGCTTGGGCTTCAAACGAGGGGGGTCATAGCTGGTTGTTTGAGGAGAGGAACAGGTATTAGATCATGTTTCCTGACCCATTGGGAAGTACATCAGGGTTCTCTATATGGCTGTGGGTTAAGATTCAAGCTGCCCCAATTGCCGAGGGAGCAGCTTAATGGGATACACAATTGGTATCCAAGACTTGGATCGTGCTAAATCATGGGTCCCAGTTCCCTGTAGATTCTGCGATTTCCCTCAAACCAATTAAACCAATCCAATGAATAGGTGCAGTTCCAAGCAACAAGTGGGTACACAGGCATAGTTCCATGATTATGCAATGTCATACCATGTTATACTATGCTGTACTCATATTAATATATGCTTATATTACATATATATATACATAATGTGTATATATATATACACATTATGTATATATATATATAGAATATATATATATAGAATATATATATATATAGAATATATATATAGAATATATATATAGAATATATATATATAGAATATATATATATATATATAGATATATATGGATATATGTATATATATATATATGTAAATATGTATATATAGCCTCGTCCTCCCTCTTGGAACTGCGCACAACCCGAATTAGGTTGGTAAAACTTGTCAATTCCGGGACGAAATTTTGTCCCGGAATTGACAAGTTTCATTAGGGTCGTCGTCATCATCATCATCATCATCACATCATCATCAGCAGCATTATATCATCATCATCATCTGCAAGTTCACATGAACGTTAACATCCCACCCCATCCCCCCACCCCACCCCGCGTGTGCGCAGCATCAACTGCTTCTGCAAGTTCACATGAACGTTAACATCCCACCCCATCCCCCCCACCCCACCCCGCGTGTGCGTAGCATCAACTTCTTCTGCAAGTTCACATGAACGTTAACATCCCACCCCATCCCCCCACCCCATCGTATGTAGTTCCAAGAGGGGGGACGAGCCTATATATACATATGTCATAATATCAACTGACCCCCAAGTAGGTGCTTTTACCCCCCCACTTCTAAACCATTTGGCGAAACCTCTGGCATCCTCTCAAGGTTTGGTACATCTCACCCGTCCAGCAGCAGCAGAAGCTGCGGCAGTGGGGGCACCTAGCAATCGGCGGTTTGTCTCAACCTTGGATTCAGATTTGGGTAGGCTTAAACCTGTAGAATTTCTTGGAGAACGCAATTCATTGATATTGGACATTCTGGAATTTTCCCTTCAATAAACACTAGAGATACACAAAGATATGGAGAATTTATGGTTGGGAAAATGATCGGCATGTCTGGAGGGTGTTCCATATCCATGTTAAGTTTGTAGAGGGTATCAAATGGGGATATATTATGATATATTCTGATGAGGATATGGGAATGGTCATAGAATTGGATGATGGGAAAATTTACAGGAAACCCCTATATTTGATGGTAAAAACCATGGTTTCCTGTAAATTTTCCCTTAAACCAATCCAATGAAATGGGTGACATCAATGAATTCGTGGAAATCTATACCAAGGGTACTCCACAATCACAGGATTTCCCCGCAGCACATTTCAGGGCAGGATACCCACGCTACAAGCCTGAACATACCAATTTGTGTGGGTGAACATGCCCATGTCGGATTCTGAAATCGAGTTACAGAAATGTGTTTCCCATGTTCAATTTGAAAGATGCAGCGCGTCAAATTCATGCCATGAAGCATAACTTCTCGCGCTGAGATGCTCGCTGGTTTGGGACTTGATGCATGATGAATTCATTTGTCCAGGTCAAGTTTTAGTGTGTGAAATGTCAATTCACATGCAACCATTTGTTTTTCGAAGTCTCAGTCGATATTCCATAATTTATCATTTTCACTCCGATCCGCAATTTTGCAGTGCCATATGGGCCACCATTTTCCGCTTTTTCTTCACCGCTCGTCTGAGGTGTTAAGAACGACTCTCCAGAGACACCAGCAAAATCCGCCAAAGAGGCCAGATTGTGTGTGTCTTCAAAAATGGGGACCTGCAAAGAAAAGAATGGTATCTGACAGATAAAAACACTCGGGGATTTTGAGCAAAAGAACAAGACTGTAGCCGCTATGAGAGACGGAACAGGAGCGCAGAACTCAACAAAACGAAGATTTAGCAATCATCAACCAACAAATATCAATAAACATCGTATACAGAGTCACACACACACACATATATATATATATAGATAGACATATATATATATACATATATATATATGTAGACATATACATATATATATATGTATATAAAAATGTATGTATAATATATATGTGTGTATTATATATATACATATACACATGTATGTACAATATGGGGTAAGCCACACAGACTATGATGGGGACCCTTTTCAAAACAATAACATTCTACTGGCAGCGAGACTTCAAAGGGTAGTATAAGATCATGCCAAGCGCCGAAGCATTCGTATGAGTTGCGATTGTCTGCGACTGAATGCCTGGCAAGAGAAATATATCTATATCTATATCTATATATATATATATCTCTATATATATATATATGTATAATATATACATATATGTATAATTGACATATATATATATGTATTATTAATATGTATATATATATATATATATGTATAAGATATCTATGTATATGTATAATATTTGTATATTATATATATGTATATTATATATGTATGTATAATACATATGTATTTATATATATATATACATACATATATGTATAATATATATATTATGGTACCACCCCCCAAGACATACCTTTCAGGCAAATTTAGTGGTATTTACAGTGTTTTACTTAGCATTTTGAACTCTAAAACTGAGGGCATTTTTTGGTGATCAAAAATTGCAAATTTTTGCAAGTTTGTTCCCATCCCACCCTTCCCTAAGTACATGGGATCCAATATTCAAGATTCAAGATCCCCAAACAACTTCTTGAATCCAAGGGGGTAGGATTCAAGATTCAAGATTCAAGATCCCAAAAAACTTCTTGAACCCAAGGGGGAGGATTCAAGATTCAAGATCCCCAAAAAACTTCTCGAATCCAAGGGGGTAGGATTCAAGATTCAAGATCCCAGAAAGACATCTTGAAGAATCCTAGGAGGTAGGGTTCAAGATTCAAGATTCCAAAAAAAGCTTGAATCCGAAGGCCTTCAGCCTTCCATCTTGAATCTTGAATCCAAAGAGGTTGGGTTGAAGAAGTTTTTTCTGAGCCTTGAACCTTGAGTCTTGAATCCAAAGAGGTTTGACTGAAGAATTTTTTCTGAGCCTTGAATCTTGAATCTTGAATCCGGGTACTTAGAAGAATATTAGCCACCAGAAATTGCAATGTCTTGCAAATGACCGGCCTGTCTGCCAAGGACATTCCTCAAATAAACTTGCTTATCCTGTAAAAGAAAATTCTAAAGCCCATTATTTTTTCTTCCTTTTCCAAGCAAATCAATCAACTTTGGCAAAAATGACCAAAAACATAAATGCAATAAAGGTAATTCGATTCATCATAATGAAAGTAAAATAAACTGAAAAAGAACCTTCTGCAATCTTAAACAGTAATTTCTTTAACAAATAAGAAAAAACAAACAATAATAAGCAAACATACATGAGCGCATCTCAAAAAAGCTTGCTTGTCGTGTAAACGAAAATTCTAAAGACCATTATTTTTTCTTTGTTTTCCAAGCAAATCAATCAGCTTTGGCAAAAATAACGAAACATAAAAAAGGTAATTAGATTCATCATAATAAAAGTAAAATAATATGAAAATCTGCAATCTTAAACAGAAATTTCTTTAACAAACAAGAAAAAATAAACAAACATAAGTAAAAATGCATGAGCTCAAGCAATACCTCTTTTATCTACAGATCAACCAAAGCCTTCCCAACAAAATGTATTCGAAAGGGTCGCAGATAGATCGGCAAGGAAAACGTTCTTTAAAAACATGATTGCAATTTATGTTACGAAAAAAGGTAATAGACTATAAAAACGCTGAAATGCTATCACAGTTCACATCACAAAATGATATTATCGTTAAAACATACAAACAAACCAATCTGAAAAAACATATTCAGAATTAAAAATAGAAAAACATGATTAATTTAAAACTAGATCCTTAGAATATAGAGCTAAAAGAACCAATAAAAATATAGGATCTTTCGAAGTAAAAATACATATTCACCCAATGCTAGAAACTCCTATAGTCCCTAAAAAAATATCACAAAATCAAGAACTATAAAAGTAAGACAATTTATAATATGACAAAAATATTAAAAACTGATCTATTTTTTTTGTTTTTATTCATTAATTTAGTTTATTATCATCAAAATCATTTATGTTTTTGCAAAACTCAAGCACTCCTGGATTTAAAGCAATGAAATTACAAGATCATCTACATTATACAGATTAAAAAAAATATTTATTACAGCAAAAAAAATAAACTCTTCTACAAACAAATGTTGTAGATGCTGAAGAAAAATCTAATGGAAATGACGTAGATTCACAAGAACAAAAACGACAACTAACACCAAATGAGAATATGATTGGTTATTGTCAATTTACTATGCAAAGCTTGATTCATGAAATTGTAGGAAGATAAAAAAAGGTAATTGCATTATAAAATCAATATGTCTAAAAAATATAGCTGGAGATCAGTCTTATACATATCTATTGTAAAAAACGCAAATGAAAATGTAAAATCTCAAGATGCCTAACTAGATCATCTAATCTTGCACAAAGCTCAGCTTTGGTAGAAGCTAAACGGTTTCAAATTGCTACGGAAAATTTAGTAAACATGAAGTCCACCAGTAGTCATTTACAAACAGTTGTATTCATCGAAAAAGATAAAAATAATATCCTACACCCTGTTGTAAAAACAGATAACAAAATTTCAATCCACCTACAGTATTCCCCAAATCATACTGCTGCAAATCCTAAAGGTGACGTAAAATACGAAATGTTGTAGAAGATATTGAAAAGCAGACTTGCAAGAATCAGATCATAGATATAATATTCGTGTTGATATATTTAAAATGTCTGAAAACAAAAAACATCAAATATAATCAAATATGTCAAATATAGATGTTACAGCGCTATGCTGCAGCTACATATGTGGGCAGGATGTGTCCAGGCGCATGCGCCCAAAATACTTTCCTGATGCCGTGCTACAATAGGGTGCTAAGATAAGAAGGAAAACAAGGCATTCAAGGACATATCTGCTACACAAAAGGTACGTCTTGGGGGGGTGCATATATATATATATGTATGTATGTATGTATGTATGTATGTATGTATGTAATGTATGTATGTATGTATGTATGTTAGTTATGTTATGTAATGTAATGTAATGCTATGTAATGTAATGTAATGTAATGTAATGTATGTATGTTATGTATGTTATGTATGTTATGTATGTTGTGTATGTTATGTATGTTATGTAATGTAAATGTATGTAATGTATGTAATGTATGTGTATGTTTGTATGTATGTTATGTATGTATGTATGTAATGTATATGTAATGTATGTGTAATGTATGTAATGTAGTTGTATGTATGTATGATGTATGTAATGTATGTAATGTATGTATGTAATGTATGTATGTATGTATGTAGTAAATGTATGTATTGTATGTATGTATGTATGTATGTAATGTATGTATGTAATGTATGTAATGTATGTAATGTATGTATGTAATGTATGTATGTAATGTATGTATGTAATGTATGTATAGTATGTATGTATGTATGTATGTATGTATGTATGTATGGATGTATGTATGTATGTATGTATGTATGTATGTATGTATGTATGTATGTATGTATGTATGTATGTATGTATGTATGTTATGTTATGTAATGTAATGTAATGCTATGTAATGTAATGTAATGTAATGTAATGTATGTATGTATGTAAATATATTATATGTGGGGGATTTACTAGCGGACCAGCATTCATGGTGTTACGTTTTTTTTGCCAGATCTTTGATTGTTTGTCGAAACAAGTCCAAGTTTTTGTCGACCCTCTGGGTAGCTTGTTGCGAGGTGGGTGATACACCCATACCCACGCAACATCCGGGAAGATGAGGCATCCCAAATTGCATGGTATGTAACTGTCCAAATCACCACTTTTTCCTGTGCTTGAGGGTTGGGTGGTCCTGAGTTTTCTATTTTTCTCCTCGTATTTGGTCGAATTTTCATCCCCACCTGCTCGAAGACGCAGATGGAACAGGTCCCTTTTGACCCCTTGTAGGCTGGTCTTTGCCCTTTGTCGGCCTTGCGGAGATGCGTTTGATCAATCACCAGCAGGTATCCATTCAACTATCCATTCACACCAGGGAGTTAGATTCAGTCGAAATCATGTAGATATCCACTTACACCAGAAGAGTATTCTCTTCTAAGATCATCTGAAATTCCGGATATCCCAAGAGCAGCTGTTTGTATTGCCAGGTGGATCCGGAGGTGATGAGAAATATCCAAAATCTCATTGAGGGACTGGCATATAACAGCCCTGCGGCTTTGAAGGACTGGCCCTGTGACATGTTTCAGGGGGACCTCCACTCCAGTGGGAGATTGGTTTAGTTTCACCCATCCAACTCTAGATCTACCGACCGTAAGGGAGTACCCTTCACATACCTTCACTGGGTTCATCCCTTCCTTGTTTCTTATCCTTCTTCAGTTTGATTAAAGCTGACCCGCAATATATAGATGCAGAGATGCAACTAGTTTGTCAAAGTTGATCCCTCACGGATGCAACTATGCAGCTAAGTTTGTCACAATGAACCCCTTATCAATGACGTTGTCTGATTTATTGGCAGGGTTTTCTGTTAACCACCTCCAAAACCGAGTTGAGCTGCTTGACCTGTCAGGGGGGGTTGTAAATCCAGGCCATTGAAAAAGGAGCCGAAGGCAAAGTGACCCAGCCGGACTCAAAAATGGCAATGTATCCATCCACTCTCGTCTTTGCATCGGCAACTTGCAAATCTCTCCAGAATTATTTAGGGTTTGAAATTAGGAATGATATGTTGGGACATGCTTGTACCGGTTTATATAACATATATATATATACATATGGTGATCAATGGATAGACAGATAGATTGTAAAGAGGTATCCAGGCGCGCCTCAAGTTTCTTCCTTATGCGGATTCAGTACACTACAGCCATGGTTTCGGACACCTAGGTGTTTTAATTAGTAGCACATAGCATGTCTCATCTTTTGGCTGAATTAATCGGCCTTGAGAACAACCGCCCCGTATTCCCCAACAAACCCTCAATGGCTAATAGAATCACCCTTCCACTCCCCACAACAAAACCCGACTACATGGCTAGTTAAGAACAAACCCTCCTTATCCCCACAAAAAGCCCTGGTACCCCATCTTTCCCATGGTGTTGCGAGGTGCGGGTGGTAACAGACTTGGGGGTGCATCCGAAGTAGTACATGTCGAGTATCCCATTTTTTTATCGCGGTGTATCCAAGAAAACTGGGTTATAAGTTATAACATGCTATAACATGGTAATTGCCCACTTGCTAGCTGGGATGAACATCCAAGTATACAAAATCATGGTCCATCATATCCCTGAACAAAACTATGAAATGAGCCGACTTGGCCTAGCATACCATACCATACCATACAATCGCATCACATCACATCATATCACATCGCATCATATCACTTGAAAACAAATGACGTACACAAAGTTGCCTCCTGGTGAGGGGCCTGTTTGTGTTTCTAAATTTTCTTTGGTTCAATTAAAGGGGTAGCTGAAATGTTCCTTATTAGGCTTTCTTGAATTCAAAATTCAGCTAAATTTACCATTGGGAATTCTTAGCGTCTGCGGTTAGCAAATGGGCCAACCATTGAGCCATCCCAGGACCTCTTTGAGTTGAGTTGCGAGCAGTTCATGAAGTACGGCCACCGTCGTTCGGAGAGTCACTGGGTGGTATTGAGGCAGATTCGTTGAAGTTTTCAAGGACAAAACTCAGTGGAGTTCTGTATTTTTTGGTTTCAGAATTTCAACAATTTGCGTTTGATGACACCCTGATTTGTGGTTTCTGACTTTTGATTTTTCTTCCTAGAGCTGGGATGGTGATCCCGAATACCGGACCCATATTCTTGGAATGGGTTGCGACAAAGCACCAACCAGATGACTGTTGATTGATAGGTTCATGTCCCATTTTTGGCTGATTGTCCCAATGATAATGATACATGATATGCCTGTCAAGTCCTCGTAAATTCCACCCATTTTACACCCCTCAAGAACACACACCCAAAATGGGTTCTCCAGAAGGGTATACCCTCACAATGGAAGTTTTGGAAAATGGTTTACCTTCCAAGCCTGGAATTCCAGTGGGTTCGGCCAAGGTCAAAAACACCTTGAGGTCATGTGCCCCCTGCCTGTGGGGATATCCCATCTACGGCCAGTGTTGGTGTCCCAAAGACTGTTCCATTGGATGTGCATAGGTAGAACATCGCGACCAAGCATGTGATTCTGGTATACGAATGGACGAATGGGTATTTATGATACGATTTTATAGGATCTGGATGGATCTGGCACTTACTACACTTTTACGGTATGGTATTTACATGTACTTACTACACATTGTACATTGATTACATTGACCAAAAACGATCAAAAATAGCCGAACAACATTGGGGACTCAAGTGACTTAACAAATTAGTTGGGAAGGCTCGGC